AGTTTCATAATTCGATTTTAGCCGCGAAAAAGCTGTGCTTGTGTGGCTGTGTTGGTTTAAAGGACATCGTCGTCATATCAGCCTTTAACTGTCCACTGCTGGACATGGAAAATTATTGATTCACTCTTGCGCCATCTGCCCATTTCTGTCTGTTCTCCTTTAACCAAAGGTTGTCTGTAAGAGATGTGCCCTAGCAATAAGACCGCCTTTTGTACACTTATGTTTATATTTCAATCTGTATTGAAAGATACACATAAAGGTAATACTGGACTAATAGTCGCGATTGACCAGTTGGCCACCCCTGGCCTGTAGTATATTATAGTTATCACTTTCCATCAGGCAGTCCGTCAGTTTGTCTGTCGTTCTATTTTACGTAAAAAAATATGGTGAGAGTAGATATTATAAAACCATGGCATATAAACATGTCTCCAAACGAGGCACAATTTATTGGCCAACACTGTAATAATTAGAGCGATAAGGAATTATCTAATCTATGGATTATACAGACTAATACTAGGTTGTCAAATTTCAGTAGTCACCATAGAGTAATTTTTTTTTATGCAGCTTATAATGACAAACAAGCTGACGGCCCACCTGATGGAAAGTGGTAACCGTTGCCTATAGACATTAGCAGTACCATGGACACAACAGAGTATACTGTTTCGCCCATGACACCCTCCATGCGTTGCAATTCCTGAGGATTTAAGTGTTATTCTTCTGTACCTTGTAAATTCACTGCTATATCCCACCCTTCGAACCGAAACACAGCCATGCAAACACAACTGCTTCACGGTAGAAACACGAATGAGACAGAGATGCCCAAACAAACGTCTTTTGTACAGTCTCCCTCTGGTATGTGGCATAAAAAGGAGATATGAACGTCAGAAAAAATGTCTACAATTATATGTTAGGAGGTATCCGCGATTAACCGTTCATATGTGTGCTCGGTAGCTAGCTTGTGACGTCACGCGAACTATGTCGAACGTTATGTTGATATAATATGATAACAAGTGATAACCAGAGATAAAACAGATGCTCGCACACTGGATATACTGAACCACTACAGCACGGCCGGGGTGAGTTCGGAATATGATGGAAAAGGGTAACCGTCGCCTATAGACATGAGCAGTACCATGGACATAACAGAGTATACTGTTTCGCCCTTGATACCCCCAATGCGTTGCCATTACTGAGGACTCAGGTGTTATTCCTCTGTACCCTGTAAATTCACTGCCATATCCCACGAGAGACGAGCAATGCGATGATAGAATCTATATAAAATTATGAAGTACTTTTTTTTTCTAGAAAATCCGTTTATAATGCTTTGCTCTCGTTTTGATGACCTCAGCACCGTGAAGGTGAACTAAAGCATATATGGTCATAAATACAGTAATATGATAAACTAGGCTTTACCCTCAGCTTTTTCTGTGTGATCGTGATGTGTGATGTATACTAAATTTCGAAAGGTAAGGTAAAGGGAATTTAACCAAAAAACATCATCAAAGTCTAATTGCGTTTGACAACTCGCCTGCCAAACGTGGCAACTACTGGCAAAGCCTCCTTATGGAGGAGGTCCATGGTCCAGCAGTGGACAGTTAACGTCTGATATCATTATATCATTCATAATTTTGTGCCAAACAAATGTATCCTGGCCACCCGGATTTTTTAACACTCTTTCGAGTTCTAAATTCAAATATTTTTAAATTTAAACCGTTTACGAAACGTATCGTTGATCTATGTGTTTTGTCGCCATTCAAGTCGCTGTAACCGACTGTAAAAATAAGGAGGTTCTCAATTCGCCTGTATTTTAATTTATTTGTTGCCTCATATTACGATTAGGATTAATTTTAATTGAAATAATACACTTTCAATTTGGTTCCATATAAATTTCATCAAAATCGGTTCAGTATTTTGATTTTACGATTAAAGTCTATATATATATATATATATATATATATATATATATATATATATATATATATATATATATATATATATATATATTAGTATAGCAAAATAATTTACATGTTCTTTTTGCGATGCAAAATACACTTGTTTAGTACAGTGACCTGACACCTCACAGGGGCCTAGTTTTAATGTGTCTATGGGCCCATATAGAGCGTTAGAACACGCTGCGCTTGCGCAGGCGTTAATAACACTGGAATGTCTGTATTGTTGGTTAATTGCGATGTGTTACGGGTACCGAGCCATAAGGCAGTGCATAGATACTGTTCGTTTCATCATACTCTATTATGTGTAAACATAGTTCATTTTAATGGCTGAGATGATGATGATGATGATGATGATAGTCCACTTTACGCCCTCCATTTGGAAATCTCGAGGTTCATTCTTATTTGATTTATTTGAAAAAATAGAAAAAAAAAAACCAAGTGCGAGTCGAACTTGCGATGTTGTAACTGCAAATTTACAGTTTTCGAATTTTCCCCTTTACTTGTGCTACATGACATTGCTTCATGTCTAATTTCATGATTCTAGATCAACGAGATATATCCTATAGATTTTGATTTAAAGATATGGCAATGTAATTACAGGATTCAGAGGTGTTTATTTATTTATATATATAGCAAGGCAACAGATTACAAAATAATACATTTATAAAATAAATATTACATAAAACAGCATTAAATTTGCACTCCAATAACTGCTCTACATAACATTCGATATTATATACATTAAAAGAATGACGACTATAAATTTAAAGTAACAAATTGGCAGCCTTAATGTAACATTGCAAGGATTGTTGGAAAATATCAAGCTCCTTGCATACATTGTTATATTTTCTGTAATCTGGTATAACACCTTAGTGCTCAGGAATGACAACGCATGAAGTATATCATGGGTGATACAGTATATTCTGTTATGATAATGAGTAGGAATATATATTTACATTATTACATGTACCACATCTCCATATTTAGAAATAATATTGTAGAATTTTCATCGTTCCTGCGATCGAACTGTTTATAATTACTCCTCTCCATCCAAAGGTTGCCTGGAAAAGATCGCTTACAGCGATAAGGCCGCCCATTGTTTTCTCATTGTAATTTTTTTTTTTTTGTAATTGTGTATATTTATAATAAGTTTACTATTGTACTCTTTTGGAGGAAACAACAAAGAGTACTGTTCAGGCTACAGTTACCACTTCCCATCAGGTGGGCCCCCGGTTTGTTTGCCACTCTAAGTTGCATAAAAAAAAGCTAGCCAGTGAGTTAGAAAGTTACCATTTTATATGAAGCACGTAACATTTGTATACAAGTCTACGCAATAGGTCAAGCCGTGTCAGACTGCGCACCGCAACTGATACAGCGGTTACTTATTGTTACTAATTGCTGTATTATGTGAACTGGCGCAGTGGGTTATCCGTTACCTAATAACCGGTTAAATAACACGGGTAACATTAACGGTGGTTTTTTTCTCTTTAACCCTTAAACCGTACCCATCTCAGGAAAAGCATTATTACTTTTTTTTTATTTTATTTTTTTACACAACTTAGAATGGCAAACTAGCTGCGCACCTGATGGAAAGTAGTAATCGTCGCATATACATGAGCAGTACCATGGACATAACAGAGTATACTGTTTCGCCCATGATACCCCCCATGCGTTGCCATTCCTGAGGAATCAGGTGTTATTCTTCTGTGCCCAGTAAATTCACGCCATATCCCACCCTTCAAACCGAAACACAGCCATGCAAACACAAATGCTTCACGGTTGAAACACGAATGGGACAGAGGTACCCAAGCAATCGACTTTTGTACAGTCTCCCTCTAGTACTACCCAGGGGTTTTGTGGACACTATATATATATATATATATATATATTTTAAATTAGTAGAAGATAAAAAATATTCTATTTTTTTTCGACACAGTCTTGACATATTGGTTTAGCGTGTTCACCACAAAGGAATTTTCGGCACATGCCATAGGTGATAGATATTTTTTTTCCAGTTGGAGCAGGACTTGGGCCATCTAATGGCCGCTTCTTTTTTAAAATTCTGCCAGAAGCTCCTGGAGATTTGAATGCAAAGTGGGCCATGTGAACCTTTTTTCCATTAGCGGAGTGATCAGATCTATGGCTAGTTTTTTCATGGATGATAATGGAATGGTAACCCCGCCTGTACGGGGGCGGGGGGAAGGGATTGTTAGTAATGGAGACTAAGGGTCCTATTGCTAGCAATATACCCAACCAGGTATTGAAGGATGATTTGAATTTGACTGAGACCAGTATATATTTATTGTAACTAAAAAATATAGATATTGTTATATATTATGTACAATAATAGAGTTTGTTTCACAATAAAAAAAAAACAAAACCTGTTATTGTATTGTAAAATCTTTATTGTACATAATTCACATTGAACACTGATAAATGATTTAATATACAATGGCGGACTTATCCCATAAAGGGATCTCTTACAGTCAACCTTTGAGAAGCTGAAAGAAAACTGTAGAATGTATAAGGGTAATAACCGTACAATTAAAGATAAACTAAATAATACCCAGTAAAAAAAAATTGAATATATAACACAATAAAAACAACTCTATATACCTACGTATGTAAATAATAAAAGTACATGAATAATAATATAACATTAATACATAAATAAATAAAAAATTACACATATAAATACATATATATACATACATACACACATATACATATATATATACATACCTACACACACACACACACACACACGCACGCACGCGCACACACATACACACACGCGCGCACACACACACACACATAGACACTCGACACACACACACACACACACACACACACACACACACACACACACACACACACATACACATAAACTCATACATACACAAATTAAATAAATGTGAAAATATAAGTTTTTTTTTTTGTGAAACTCTTAAAATAAAGTGTGTAAATAATAATAAAGAAATAAATTGTTTTAAAGTCTGTTGAAGATTATTTATTTATATTAATTAAACGTCGTCTCCTTATTCGCAGGTGTGGCACAAGGGATGTTTCAAATGCCAGGAGTGCGGCATGACGCTGAACATGCGGACGTACAAGGGCTACGGGAAACTGCCGTACTGCGAAGCGTGAGTACATTCCTATAGAGACACTAGCGATCCGGCATTTATGAAAATTCCATCCGGGTGGATAGAATTTTCAAAAATGATATATATAATATAACAGGCGTGACCGACTTAACTAAACCCAAAATCTACTGTTTACGGACAAAACATTGGAGAGGATGAATGCGGGTCGATTGACCTATTGTGACGAATTCAACAATTATTAACCACGATAGTTTCCAGGGAAACCGCGTGGAGGTCGACCTGATAGAGTATATTATTAACGAGGGACGGTTAAATTATATTAGGTACTAATAATCAACGCCCCCCACCCCGTTAAGTGCTTTTTTATGAGTGAAAATGGTGTGGTAACCTCGCCTGCGCTAACGAAGTACGCTGGCGGTGCACCAGTGAAGGGTGATAGATGAGAATGAAAACAGGCCAGTTAGCCCATCATGATGAATTCATCAGGAATTAACCATGATAGTTTCCAGGGGGAACCGCGAGGAGGTCGACCTGGTTGGGCATATTGCTAACAATGGGATTCTCAGTCTCCATTACTAACAATCCCTTTCCCCCCCAAACCCCCGTTAAGTGCTGTAAATTAACAAACAAACTCACTTTCATATGTATAATATTGAGATTCTCACGGGCTAAGCCGTGGTATAGAGTTAGTGATGCGTAAGTTATTTTTAATGCCATGTGTATGTTTGGTATTTAAGTAACGGATGCCATATTGTGTCGATTTTTTATACTGGGGTCACTCACTTTCATTTTTGTTTGTGGCCTACATTTTATTTATAGAACGCTTATTGAATTCTTAATTCGACTGTATTTATTTTAGTCATGAGTAATAAAAAAGTTTTTATTTCAGCTGTTTACCCATAGTTTACATTACATTCAATTCGTTATAGAGGCTTGGGGTACCCCCGGGGGGTCGCAAGCAGCATTTTGATAAATATTGAGATACGTCATCATACTAGCCTTTAACTGTCCACTGCTGGACATAAGCCTTCCCTTAGAGAATTTTGCCAGTAGTTGCCACGCTTGGCAACTGCAGTAAGGCTTTGGAAATGTTTTCAGAGAGACGCTGCTGCCCATCCCTCGCTCTCTCTTAGTCGTCTCTTACGACACCCACGGGAAAGGAAGGGGTGGCCTATTCTATGTAAGGACCACACGCCTTGGTTTGAGGATTGATTGAGATATAACATCGTATCGTAGTCACAAAACATTTCAAAGCCAAGTCTTCATTTTTGCCATTCTAGAGTTACTTCTATTACATCGGAGTGTTATCAAAAAAATCTCAACTCTATCCCAAAGGCAAAAGTATTGAAATCACTTGTAAGTTTAAATGCGACGAATTGTTATTCACCATGCATACTGGTGATTGACCGTCACATTATGTCACTGTTGCTTTTAACCGACCGTCGAAAGTTGTATTATGTTTACGACCGCCTTTTACGGTGTGTTTTGTTACGTGAGCGTTAACTGGGTCAAATAGCCGTGAATAATTTTTAAAATCATGCACTATTATATGTATTTATTTATTTATAATTGTTGAAGTATAGTTTATTGTGAACTTTATATAGCAACCCTAACTTTGTTTATGGTATTATAAAATAAAAAAAAAAAAAACTTCTTGTGTGTCAATGACAGAACTGAAAAAGGTTGTTTTTTATTTCTCTTCTCCATCGTTAATAATCCATTTAGTTGACTTGTAATAACATATTTATTTGACGTGTAATAACAATAATAATCATAACAGGTTATGGCCCAGCCTGATTTTCCATTTATATGGTATTGTAATTATTCGTACAAAACTAGAACAATTTCCACAAGTCACAGCCACCATTTTTTTTTTCCGGTTGAAAGTTTTTTTGTTCAGAACTTCTTGAGGTACTTGTCAATAATGTCTGTGCGATTAGATAAAATCACAGTGGACAAGTTGGAGGGTGAAGGTAATTGGATTTCATGGAAATTCGATATCAACTTACAAATAACCCTACATGGAGTTGAGGACCATGTGACCGGTGTAGCGCAACAACCAAAAGATGGAGAAGAACCAAAGTCTTTCAAATTATACCATGAAAAGGAATCAATTGCAAGGTATTTAATAGGTTCAACAGTAGGCAGAGAGCCGAAACAGCACATTTTAACCTGCAAAAGTGCGAAAGAAATGTGGGATACTCTTCATGCTGTGTATGAACAGAAAAATGAAAGAAGACTGGATCTTTTGTACTGCGAGCTATTTACGTATAAAAAGTTACCAGAGGACAGTATAGCTACGCATGTCTCTAAGTTACAAAGACTGTATACTCAATTAAACTTAGAATTGAAAAATGAAGGCAGTACTTTGCCTCAGTCCTTACTTTTAAACAGAATACTGAATACATTGCCTGTTAACTATCTTGAGTTCAAAAATGCATGGGAATCTGTCCCTGCATCGGATAGAAATGTAACCACATTAATGGAACGTCTTCGCTTACATGAGCAAAGATTGAATGAAAGCAAACCTGAAAGTGAAGTCGCTCTAGTTGCAAAGACTGAAAAGCGTATATATAATAAAGGTCCAGTTTGTAATTATTGTAAAAGAAAAGGACATATCAAAAAACATTGTTTTAAATTTAAAAATAAACAAAAATCTGATTCTACAAATGGACATGCTTTTGTTGCACATAGTACCGTGATAACTAAAGAGGACTGGATAATAGATTCTGGTGCGTCACACCATATTACTTCACATAGAGAGTATTTTGCTTCATATGAACAATTTGATAACCCAATTCCAGTTTATCTCGGAGATGGTAGTCAAATGATGGCTGTAGGATTTGGCATCATAGACATAAAAATGTTGGTTAATGGAAAATGGGAGAAAGGTCATTTAAAAGATGCTTGGTTTGTTCCTACCTGTAAACAGAATTTATTCTCTTCAGGGTCAGCTTTAAAAAATAATTTAATTGAAATAGGTGATAAAAATAAAAGAATATTTAAAAATGGCAATAACATAAAAGCAGTTGCAATAAGAAATAAGGGAAATATGTACAGATTGGAGATGAGGGTGATATTACCTGAAAATTATTGTATGCTTAGTAGTCATACGGCAGACTTAAATATCTGGCATGAACGCCTATGTCACCAGAATATTAGACATGTTGAAAAATTCTTAAAACTGAATAATATTCCATTCCAGCCAGCAGAAAAAATTGTTTGCGATGGGTGCATGTTTGGTAAAATGTCTCGCTTGCCTTTTCATACAAGAAATATCAGAGCACAGGTACCAGGACAAATTATTCATGCTGATGTCTGTGGCCCCATTGCTGAAGTATCTGTTGGAGGTAGTAGATATTGTATTGCATTCAAAGACGATTACTCCAAATACAGAAAAGTATATTTTATAAAAGAAAAGACAGCAGTTTCAGAAGTAACAAAGAACTTTATTTTGGAAGCTAAGACAATAGGTCATACAATAAAAGAATTAATAACTGATGGAGGTAAAGAATTTATAAACAAGGAAATGCAAGCCATATTGTCATCATTTGGAATTAATCATCGCATGACCATTCCATATAGCCCACAGCAGAATGGAGCTGCGGAGCGTGAAAACAGAATATTAATGGAAGCAGCTCGGAGTATGCTACATGCAAATAATTTTGATAAGCAGCTATGGGCAGAAGCTGTTAACACTGCTGCATATGTTCTGAATAGGACTGGTCCAACAGGTGTTGATGACTCATCTACACCATACAGTTTATGGTTTGGCAAAAAAGCTGATATAAGTCATCTGAAGATATTTGGCACAAAATGTTTTATTCATGTACCTGACCAAAAGCGCAGAAAGCTAGATAAAAAGGCAATAAAGGGAAACTTAGTTGGATATTGTGGAGACAAAGATGGGTATAGAATATGGACAGAGGACAGAAAGATAGTTTTATCTAGAGATGTTAAATTCCTACCAGAACAAGTATGTGTTGATATTTTTAAACAGGATTTAACAGAGCAGCAGTCTAAACATCAGAAGGAATCTTCGAAAAATCATGATTTTGTGATATCCTTAATTCCTGATGCTGATGAAGTCAACAGCAGCAAAGTTCAGAAAGTGACAAGAGGACATGCATCATCGTCTATGGCCCCAAGGGCTGTCACCGCTGATCCAGCTCAAGCATGTGACCAGGTTCCAAGTTCAGGTAAAGATTTTATACATAATTCATGTGATAGTGATCCTGTGTTCTTAGACTGTGATAATTTATCAGAAAGTGAAAGTGAGTCAGTGATAAATGTGGATCCATTGTGTAGTGGTAACAGTAATGGAAATGTCGAAAGTGAAAATTCTCAACGATATCCATTGCGTAATAGAAAGATAAAGGAGTTTCCAGACTATCATGTGTATATGTGCATGGAATCTGATGATGAATGTTTACATTTTGATGATTTTGATAATTTACCAGCTTGTTGGAAAGATGCTATTAATGCTGAACTTTCATCATTGGATATTAATAATACTTGGTCTATTGTAGATTTACCAAAGGGTGTAACCCCTATAGATAGCAAATGGGTATTTAAAATAAAGAAAGACAGTGACAACAATATTGTCAAATATAAGGCTAGGTTAGTTGCACGTGGGTATAATCAAAGATTTGGTATTGATTATCATGATACATATTCACCAGTTGTTCGTTCTAGTGCACTTAGAATTCTTTTTCTTTGGCAATTCAGTTTGATTGGTTTATAGACCATTGGGATGTTGTTACTGCTTTTCTTCATGGAACATTAAATGAAGATGTTTTTATGTATATGCCAAAGGGCTTGTTAATTGATAAAGGTAAAAATGATAATGTGCCTAAGGTATGCAAACTAAACAAAGCTATGTATGGACTGAAGCAGGCAGCCTCAAGTTGGAATAAAGAGTTGCATAATGCTTTGATTAATATTGGTTTTAAGCAGTCTGTTCATGAACCATGTATTTATATTCTCAAACAAGATAACCTTTATTTAATTTTAGCAATTTATGTGGATGACATTTTTGC